GAAAGCCAGTTCACTGTATTGAATGAGAATTTTTCTCTCCAGAATCTATCTTGCATATCTATAAGTCTATCATTCATCCATACTTAGAATATTGCTGCCATATATGGTCTGGTGTCCCTACCATTTTCCTGGAGCTCCTCAATAAGATCCAAAGAAGAATCAGCAATATTGATCTCACAGCTCGGATTCAGTTACTTGCCCACTGCCATAAGGTTGCCTCTGTGCGTTTTTTAAAAAAATTTTCATGGTAATTTTTGGGAGGAGCTCTACACTATTGTACTTAGACTATATAAATTTAAGTGCAATACTAGAGTGGTGATGAGATCTCATCAATTTAAGCTTGCTAGATATAACTGCAACTTCTATGCTAACAGTTTCTTATCCCACACTTCTCACTTGTGGAACTCCCTCCTGTCTCCATGCTTTCCAACTAATTTTAATCTACAAAAATTTAAATGCAATGTCAATCACTATCTACTCTCCTCCTGAATGCTTCTTTTCTTTCTTATTTCTGTACTGCCTTGTTTGGGGTGATACCAATTAAAAAAAAACTGTATTTCTGAACATTTTGTTGATAGTTATGTAATCAATTTAGTTCTTCATGTCTCCTTCAAGGCTTCTCCATGACCATAAGCATCTTGGGTGCTAGTGTAACCAGGTGTTGGTAACTGTTTTTTTTACTGTGCACCATTGGACCCATCTTTCACTATGATCATTTCAGGTTCCAAGTCTGAACTTACCAAATATTTTGCTTTCTCATTTTTTTTCTGACTTTGACATTCAAGTCTCCCACAATGATGGTGACCTTTTGTGATTCATACTGAATCTTGGTGTTGTCAATTTCTTCCAAGATACTTTGATGTCTATGCAAAAACAATAGATATGTTAAAAGGATTTCCTTTCATTTTAACTAAAACAATTCAGTCCGAGAATTGAGAGTATTCCAAAACACCTTTCTTCATTATCTAGTATTAACCCTACACCTCTTTCATTTTTCTCTCCACCTGCATGTTTGATCATGTGTGATACTCATGAAATCCCCATTACTTTCCCACCTAGCTTCACATACACTTAGAATGTTGACATTTAATCTATTCATCTCTTGCTTGATATTTTTGTTCTGGCCACATTGGTATAATGTCCTTATAATCCATGTCCCTATTACTATTTCTTGTTTCTTGTGAATAGTTGCTGGATAACATTTCAATGACACTTGTCGCTCACGTTAATACTTACCAGGTATATTACCAAGAAGATTGACTTCCTTGACAATATTATTCTTCATATTCGTTTTACAGTCACTGAATAATGGTCAGATGACACCTGTAACTCAAATCTTCCTTTACCAGGTGAGGAGTTATACCCAGTGAAATGTATTCAATTCAAGCCATTCCCTCTAATAATTATATTGTTTATAGCCATGCTTGATCTTGGAATAGATAGTGGAGTGGTTTCATATTGCCTTCTCCACAGTGTTTTTATTGACACTCCAACTAGTTATCTGGCCATTGAGAGTTCTTCCACATTTTGATAGGTTTTATTTTTTTATCTTACAGGCTTGCTAATCACCCTTCTTACACCAAGCAAAGTAGAGTTGGCAAGTCAGTTTAGTTGACAACCATCCAACAAAGGTTCATCTTTGGAAAGAAAACCAAATAACTGCTGTTTGTGAGGTCATTATAAAATTATTAGCAATTGCACACAATGACATTTGATGATATAAGTCAACTAATAGTGAAAAAAATAACACCCAAGAAAAAACTAGAGAATGCAGAGAGAATTACATTCCCGAATTTTTCTCAAGAAGTGAATGAACCAGTTATTGAATATGTTCTTCATTTAAAACAGGCCACTAAATATTGTGAATTTGAGAACCTGAGACTGGAAAACCAATCAAATGAAGAGGATTTGATCCAAATGAAATTGGTAAATGGTCTTCAAAATGAGGAGTATTGGCAAATGACTAATGCATTTACAACTAGGAAAGTTGTCACTAGGACAATGTGTTGAATTTCTTCAGCAACAAGAATTAATTGGAACATTTAGAACCAAAGAGACAGATCTAGTAAAGTAAATGGACATGATAAAGAAAAAAAGATAAAATATGTGTACTTTTGTGGATATCAACATCAAAAACAAAAACCTCTGGTACATAAAAAAAATGTGAAAAGTGTTTCAAAATTAATCATTTAAAGATGTGTGTAAATCAAAAAAGAAAAACATAGAGATGGTCCAACAAAATTAAAAGGAAATAAGTACAGACGTCTTTTAATTGAAAAGAAAAAATGAGAAAGGGTTATTAAAAACATTATTAATTTGAATCAATATTTTATTAGACATGCAACTAGAGATGTGACATTGATACCCAGAAATTCCTGGAGGAAATTAAGAAAAATCAAGATTAAAGAAACGCCATATTCAACTGAATCAGTTTGACAGATCTGTGATAAAAAATGTTTGACTATTTTAAAGCATACATGGAATTAAAAAATAAGTTTGACCTATTACCAATTATCGTGGAAAACTGTGAAAAGGATCACATAAATGATGTATTGAACATAAATTCAACATAATTGTAAACAAAAGTCAAGGCAGAAGAACTTAGAATGATAAAAAAATTACGAAGAAAAGTTAAGGCGGAAGAAAAATGTCTACCCCTCATATATTGAAGCATGAAAATAGCTGTGGAAAAACTAAAAAAATTACTGGAACAAGATCTACTGGAATGAGTTCCACCAGGAGGGAATAAATCAGCCTCCCTGTTAGTAATTTAAAAAAAAAAAAAAAAAAAGGATGGGGATCTGTGCATTTGTGGTGATGACAAAGTAGGTGTAAACCACAAAATATGTGCAGAATCATATACTATTCTCAATGTAGAATGGCTTTGAACTCCCTTTCAGGCATGGAAACATTCTCTAATATTGATCGAAAGTTAGCATACCATCAAATACCAATTGCTGAAAACTTTCAGAAAGTCACAACAGTAAAGATGCCAATAGGCTTATTAAGATGGTTAAGATTGCTGTATGGAATTAAAACTGCAAATGGGATTTTTTACAGGGATATAGAGCAAGTTATTTGTAGCAATATAAAAATTATAATATACTACCAGGATGACATTTGTGTTGGTGATATTAACAATGAAGTATTAAAATAGAAAACCAGTATGGTTTTGAATAAGTTAAAAAATGTTGGATTAACAATTAACAAAAAAAAATGTGTGTGCACAACACAAAAACAAAATATTATTTTGGGGATATTCTATATTTAACAAAGAAGCTGTTCTGACAAAGAAGCCAGTAGTAAAAATATTTGACCCTAGAAAGGAAATAGTAGTAACAACTGATCCAATTGAACACCCAATTTTGGGAATATTATTTCAGGAAAGTTTTCCTATTATGTATCTTTCAAGAAAATTGTCAAAAACCAAAGTGAAATACTCATATATTGAGAAAGAAGTGTTGGCCATAATATAGAGGACAATCAGAGTTTGTCAGTTACTGATTGCAAATAAATTCTTACTAAGGCCCAAACATAGACCTTCAGAATTCATATTTCATCCTAGGAAGGAAATTCCTAAGGTACATCTTCTAGAATTCTAAGATGGGCCTTAATGTTAATGGCACTTGACTTTGATATTGAGTACATTAAAGACAATATGATTCCACACGTAGATGCTTTGTCAAGATTGAGGTTTATTACTTTTGAAAATGAGAAAGAAAAAATTCAAAGATGTTTTCTTACATTTGGTAGAAACTGATATTTCATCAATAGACAAAGTAGCTGAGTATATGAAGCAGGATCCCATATTGAACAGTATATTGTTCAGGATAAAAAATAATAAGTGGAAATAATAAGTCTCACAGGCAGAAAGGCTTTTTTAAAGAGGTTCAACACAAATTAACTGTAGAAAAGAGTGTAATTAGTAATGGAGATGTAGTGGTTCCACCAGCAACGCAAAGGAGCAAAATTATAAAAAGTATACATGACAATGTTCATTGTGGAATAACATCTGCACAAAGGAAATTATGACTCAAGGTATGGTGTCCACCCGATTATTGTTTGCTAAAAGACATTTGAAAATAAAACTCCAAATTAAATTTTGTCCATGACGCCTGCTCTGTTGCTTGAACTTCAAAAGTTCTATTGCTAGCAGATCAAATCTAAGCATATAAATTTACTCTATTTTTTGCTCCAAACTGCTTGATCCCATATTTGGGATTGTTTTTATATATACTAGTAGTATTATTAGTAATAATATGATCTTGAATTTTTATTAGATAAAGTATTGTCAACTAGTATTAATTTTAGTTGCTTTTCATTTTTCATTTTAACCACCATAAAAACACAAGTATAGTGCAACTTTTTATGATCAGTTTTTTATTAAAAAAAAATAAGGGGTTACACTAAAGGTAATTTTTTTTGAAGTGGTTAAAAATTATGAATCTTCAGTGGCTGATTGCACTATACACTGGTAATTTTTTTTCTTGAGAGGTTAAAATCATGCAAAAAATTTACTAAGTTTACTAATAGCCATGGGCTGAAAATCTACAAGTTGAAATGAAAACTAACTAAAACCAAGATAAAATAAATACTTGTTTAAAAATTAATAGATATTCAAGATAATATAAATTGCATGCATTAACATTTGAAATCAATCAACTGCTTGGAAATATACACTTAAACCTGGTGATGACAAGAGATTACCATATTAAAATGAGATTATAAAAAAATCAATCTGAGAATGAGTTTACAGACTAAAGAAAAATAATTATTTTCACAATCTCTATGAACACAACTACTACTGCTGTCCCCAATAGTCATTATATTTGATGTATAAAATTTGTATGCAAATGTAACCATAGGATAGAGAAATTATTTCTCTTTAATAAAAGGTTGCTGAATTTGAATATAAATAATAATCATCAGCTCACCTGAAAGATTCAAAAGTAGCAACATTAACTATTGAAAAGTAACTGAAAGAAAAAAAATCAACTAACCAATATTAACAGCTTTGATTGGATCTGCATCTTTGTCAACAAACACATGACAAACTCCTTCACTGTGTCCCAAAACAGGAATTCCTTTACTCATCTCCTGGATTTTGGAGACTAGTTCATTGGAACCACGTGGAATGACCAGATCAATATATTCATCCAGCAATAAAAGATCCTCAATGTCTTCACGTCGACTAACCTTTAAAGAAAAATTTGAAATTTTATCTTCATATTTTGTATACTTATTATGGTATCAATTTTAAATTCCAGTTATGGAGATTGTGTAAATATATTTAATTTTTTTGTGATACCAAAGCTTGTTCTATAGTCACAAAATAATCATAATTTAATTGCATAAATGAAAAATTTGTATGAAGATTTAAATGTAATGCCAATCATTATCTTCTTTCTTCTTAATACATGTTCTTTTATTGTTCTCTCTCCTTAACGGTATTTTTCTCATATTCTATAACACTTACATTTTTATGGCCTTTGTTAGAGAGAAATGATTTTTTAAAAAAAGAGCTTTTGACTTGAAGAGAATGCATACATGTGAAAAATGTGAACAAAATGAGAAAAGAATGAGAATTTTTTTTCAATTTGGAAGGAGAAAATAAAGTGAGAATTACAAAATATAAGTTAATAAAAAAAATTATAAATATCAATACAAAATCTGGATCAAAAAAATGATTTTAAGATATATCAATGGCATTCATTTACAAGCATATCATGAAAAATTAACAAGATTATATACAAATCAGTAATTTTGATTAGAACAAGAGTGTTTAAGTGCAAACTCTGAAGAAACATTCTCTGTCCCTCTGCCTAGGATCAGTGTAGAATCTGTACATTTTGTCCCAATTTAGTTTTTGCTGCTCAAGCAGCAACATACTAACAAGGATATGTGACTTGCAAGCTTACTACCAGTTTTGTCATTTGAATCAGGGCATGATTCATTCATCTATTTTTTATATCTCTTTGCTTTAACATTACATAAGTAAGCAAAAAGAACTAAGGAAGCATACAGAAGTATTTATGCTGTTGATCATTATACATGATTACTTCTTTCATTGCAATTTTCAACTTCTTTTGTTTTTTATCCATGATAGAAACATTAATTATTCATTATAATTGCAAAAATAGAGATGCAAGATAGAATGAGGTGTATTTCTCATTAATTCATTTAGTAATGCTATCTGGAGTGTCATGATATCCTTCAATGTTAACTATTCACGTTTAGTTTTACTAGAGTACATTGCATGTTAAACACTGAAAAATAACACATTATTTACACAAAAATTAGGATATGTAAGCTTGATGAAATATGCATAAACTCTTTGATTTCCTACATTTCAGTATATTTAGCTATTGGAACTTTCTAATCAAAACAACATGTTGAAAAAAAAAAATCAAAGCTGATGAAAAAACATTACAAAAGTTATAAGTTTTAATGATTATTTTTTCAGAAACTTACAAGACTGACAGTTTCTTTGGGGACATAAGGTTCTAGTGCATCTTGAACCAATTCATGCAAGATTTTGTTGCTATATGATGCTTCACGCCCTCCTTTCAACAAAAGACCATTAGCACTGGCAATTGCTAAAGCTGCAACCTGAAATTAATGAACACATTAATATTCCAAAGTAGATACAATAATGATTGAAGATACAAATTAGAGGTGGTTTAATTCTAAGCATAAAACCTAAAATGGGAGTTTGTATTACACTTTTCTATATACTTGTAAATAATACATAAGTTGAGGTAACTCATTTACATATGAATTCAAAGACTATAAATAGCTACAGCTATTACCCATAAGGCAGTTGGGTGCATACTACTTCCTGCAAACAGGTAACACTACACAAAAATGGCATCACCAATATCTAATGATCTGAATAAACAATTATCACTTGATAATTATGAATACACCTATGCATGGCTTAGAATACTAGCAGCTAAAGCTAGAACAAAAAACCTAAAGGATTCAAAATTAATCGAAGGAGAAAACCAAATAAACCTTTTTTGGCAACTGCTGATTGTGAAACTATTATAAAATTATCAGCAATTGCACACCCAAATAAAAATGTTAGGCTATTTTGAAGCATACGTGAAACTAAAAAATAAGTTTGACATATTACCCATTACTGTGGCAAACTATGAAAAGAATCACAGTCTAATAGGGAATCATGTGTTGAGCATAAATTCAACAAAATTAGTAAACAAAGTAGTAGAAACTAAGATGTTAGAAAACTATGAAGTGAAGTTAAGACTAAAAGAAAATGTCTCCCCCTCATATTTTCAAGCATGAAAAGTGCCAATTGAATAGTTGTGGAAAAATAAAAAAAAATTACTGGAACAATATCTACTGGAATGAGAATTTTAAGATGGGCCATAATGTTAATGGTGTTTGACTTTGATATTGAGTACATGAGAGGCAATACCATTCCACATGCAAACACTTTGTAGAGATTGAGGTTTATTACTTCTGAAAATGAGAAAGAGGAGGAAAAATTTGAAGATACTTTCTTAGACTCGGTCAAAACTGATATTTTGTTGATAGACAAATTAGCTGAGGATATAAAACAAGATCCCATATTGAACAGCATACTGTTCAAGATAAAAAATAATATGTGGAATAATTTCTCACAGGCAGAAAGGCATTTTAAAGAGGTTAAAAGAAATTACACCCTGCAGAAAAGGGTATAATTTGTAATGGAGACATAGTAGTTCCACCAGCAATGCAAAGGAGTAAAATTATAAAAAGTATACATGATGTTCATTGCAGAATAATGTCTACAGGTCTAGAGTCATGGTGGCCAGGCTATTCTAGAAATGTAGAAGAATACATAAAAAGGTGTAAAATGAACAATGAAAGAAGAAAATTTAGAGAAACAAAAACACATGCATGGCCCAATTAATTATGTCCTATGCCACCATGTAAAACTATGGTATAAAAAGAATAATGAATCTAATCTGCAAAAGGCAAGATTTATAGTGCAAAATGGAGAGAACATTATGATAATAGAAAAAATGGAAATGGGATATTAGTGCATGCAAACCAACTTAGATTGCAATGCAATAGCAATGAAGAAATGCATAGTGAGCTTGAAATTAATGAAGGTGAAAGTGTCATGTCAAGGCAAGACAGTGAAATTGAGAGTAATATAGACTCTGAAGATGAACAATAACAATCATTAGAGGAACACTCCTATTAAAAAGAAAATGTCAAGATCTCCCATATCGAAACAATCTCTTAGGGAGAGAAAGGAAGATAGCGAGGAGACAAAAGCTCCAAAAAAAAGTACCAGGGAAAATAAGTGGATAAAACCTCTTCAGTACAGGGAGATGAGGTGACTTATTTACAGATGAAGTTACAAAGACTATAAATAGCTACAGCTTTTACTCATGAGGCAGTTGAGTGCATACTACTTCCTGCGAGTAGGTAACATTACACAATATAAGCATTACAAGGCACACAATAATATTATAAAACATTTATAAGACAAGCAAAAATTTCATAAAACATGACTAGGTACTATAGTTTTTTATATCAATATTATCATTGTCTATTAAGCAAAATTTGTTCTTCCAATAGAAAAAAATGAATGAAAATGAAGGGTCATAACAGATTCCTATAATATGACATGTTATGCATAACAGCAATCAATATTTACATTTGAAAAGATCTTTAAAAAATGCTAAATGTATGAAAATTTTATTTACTGGAAAAAATCAACAATTCCAATATGATATCATGATTTTAAAGAGTCCCTCATAGCAGACTACTGGCATTCAGAATGAATGAATGACAGCAGTGAAATAGCAGAAAACCTCAATATATCTATCTTTATAATGCTGCTAAAGAAACCAGGTGCAAATGAATATGAACTCCATCAAACAATCAGCTTAATAAGACATAACTGAACTTATCATTAGGATTCTAATGAATAGAGTTCAGCAACATTGAACTGGAAATAGAGCAAGAACATTTTTTTTTTAGATTTGTGAACACAAATTACTAAAATTAAATTAAAATCATCAGAATGCTATCAGTGTGAGCAATAAAATGCAAAAAGATTTATGCTTGTATTTTATGGATTACACAAAAGCATTAGATAGAATACAACACAAAGCTACTTGAAATACTACAAAAGCTTGATTTATATGGGAAAGATGTTTGAGTAATTCATAATGTTTATTAGAAACAAGCAGCCTGCATATAGACAGAGAACAACTTCAGTGAAAATACAAAAACAGAAAGATGAGTAAAACAAGGATACATTTTTTCACTGGATTTATTTAACCTTATTTAGCAAGATCATCCTAAGGGAACTAGAAAACCTACGATGATTTATCATTAGTAAGCTTAATTTTAAACAATATAAAATATATGGATGACACTGTGTTAATAGCAAACTCAAGAACTAAAAGAACTCTCAGACCACGTAGTAAAGGAAAGCAAGAAGAAAGGACTAAGCCACAATCCATTCACACAAGTTCATCAGGTAGGGAGCTCACTACTTTCAGCTATTGACTCTTGTACTAAATAAGCTCTGTGAGGGTTAATTTTTCTGAGCTTTCCTTCCTCATTATGCATTGAAGAAATTTCATCTGTCTCATCTTGATTCTGAGTATAAGGATTTTTTTTATGTTGCTATTTTCTTCAAGACTTCATTCTTGCTTACTTGGTCTGTCCATGGAATTATCAGTATCCTTATATAGAACCACATTTCTGTTGCCTCCAGTTTTTTCATCTGTGAGGAGTGTCCAGCATTCACTGCCATATAAGAGGATGGATATCATATAGCAATCCAGCACTCTTTTCTTTCTTTCTAATAAAATTTTGCTGTTTCTCAGCACTTTGCTTAGCTTAGTCCAATGAGTTTTCAGATTTTGGTTTCACATTTTCCATACTCTGTTAAAACACTTCACAGGTATCTAAACTTCTGTATTTACATGATGTTGACATCTCCAATTTGTAACTCCTATGTTGGGATTTTCTCTTTGCTGATGACTATATTCTATCTTTTTGCAGTTGATGGTTAGTTTTTTTTCTTGTTTTGTTTTTATTTTTATTTTTTTTTTACTACTCTGTCTAATAAGAGGTTCTGAAGTTTTTCCTTCTGTATTTGCCACCAACACAATGTCATCTGCATATCTTGTATTATTAAGATTAAAACCCACCAATAATAAATCCTGGTAGGGTCTTCAGTTCCCTGCAGATAGCCTCACTGTAGAGGTTGAATAAATCTAGGGAGAAAACACATCCTCGTGTTATGCCCCTTCCTATTTTTGAGTAGTTACTGAATTTATTTTCTATCCATATGTAGGTGGTTTGCTCCAACATAAGTTCTGGATATTCTAACATCCTTTCAAGATAGATCTAGTTTTCCTAGCAGTTCAAATAGATCCTTCTGTTATACCATGTCAAACATTTTGTGTAAGCTATAATTCTGCATTCGTATTGCTCACTGATATCATTTCAATCATAAATATCACATTTCTTGTTCCTTGATAAAACTATACTGTTCTTGTCCTGTATCCTGCCTAATTCTGCTTTGTGCTGTATTCATCAGTATTTATATCATTAGGGTGGTTATGTGTCTCATTAAATTAATTGCTTGCTGGAGCATACATTCATTTGCACCTGGCTTTTTAGGTAATGTTATGAAGATGGATTTATTGAGGTCTTGCAGTATGTAACCACTGTTGTAAATTTCATTTATTACTTCTGTGATCTTGTTCATGCTGAAATTATCTAACCCTGAGAGCATTTCAGTTACAATCCTACTGGCCATGCTGCATTGTTTCTGTTAATTTTTCTCCAGTGCTTACTATTTCTGGCATTTTTCATATTTTCAAGTAGTGTAGGTTTCTCTTCTGCATCGTGAAAAAGTTCTGATGTATTCGCTCCACCTTTGGAATAATTTTTCTTTTCCTATTATTAGTGATCTTTCTTTTGATGTCATAAAGCCTGTTGCTTGCCTTACCTTTCATCCTGTTAATTCTTTTATTCTGTTCTTCATATTTACTGTATTTGTGATGCTCATCCTTTTTATTTCTGCACACTTTCCATTATGGATGTCAAAATCAAGCAGGTGCAGAAATTTAACGATCTGGATAGTGTATTAATAGACAACAGAAAATAAAACGTTCACAGGCCTATTGATAAGTACCTTCCAGAAATTGAACAGATTATTAAGAGTTCAGAAAATGTTCTTAAAATAATATACATAACAATAAATGCTGGACAATCTCCTCACAAATTTCTTAGAGCAACAAAAGACAGGAAGTTATGAAGCAACATGATTGCCCAAATCTTGAAAGGATATGGCCCATAAAATAAAAAAAGAGGTAATTAATACTTGTTAAGTAAGAGTTATTTTGCTTGTATAAAGTATTCATTGGTGAGAAGAAATGTCTATTTTGTGTTTTCCAATACTGCATCTTGTTTTACTATTGTGTCAAATAAGTCATGAATTTTGAGAAAATAAAAATCACCCAGTAAGAAGCTTGTACATCTATCCTCACAAATACTTTTATTTTTAAAATTAATGGTACAATCAATAATGATTGAGATAGGATAGCATAATTGTAAATAAACATGTTACCTGGGGTAATGCATCTGGTCTGGATTCAAATATAACAAGAAGGACACCAACTGGCACTGTGATTTGTTTCAAATCAAGGTTTTCAGCCAGTTTAGTATGGAGAACTACACGGCCAACAATTGACTCTGAAGTGTCAGCAATTTGCCTTAAGCCTTCTGCTAGAACATTTAATTTTTTATCTGTCAATTTTAAACGAGACACCATTGGAGCTGAAAGACCTGAAAACAAAAAGTTATTTTTTATTTAAAAATACTTTTGATATTTCACCCTTTTATAGAAATAATTAATGTCCATTCTTTTTAAAACTACTATTTAAGCTTCCTTATTTTGTAAAAAAAAAAAAAAAAAAAAAAAAAAAAAGCTTCAAACCTAAAATTTGAATTTTTTTTAGGTGTTATTTTGCAAAAGTTATTTTCTCCAATTACAGATATTATTTTTTTATTCATTATATTAATTTACTATTCAATAAAACTCACATTGGAAATTCAAACTTACACAGCTGAACATAAACTCATTTAATAAATAACAGTAACTTTAATAGAAAATTCTAATTAGAAAAATATGAAGAACACATAAAACACAAAATCCTTGTTGAAATCTTCCTAATTTCTGAATGCAATCTATTTTTTTTGCCAATATTCTTGCTTCTACATCACAAATATTTAAATATTTAATGACTGTATAGCAAGGATTTCTTTGAACAAAGAAATGCAACATGCAGTGAATTATATAATGACACTGTTGTGAAGTCCTAAGTTTTTTGTGTTACTACTTATTGCTTGTATGTAGTCCCTCCTCCTCTTAATCGGAATCATTCCAGATATGTTAATTAGTTAATCTACATATCACTACATCTCCCTGTAATGAAGGGGTTTTGTACCTCTTGTTTTTTTTTTTATGCTTCTTCTATCATTTTGTTTTCAGGGTTTCTTTTCTCTCTGACAGGATCTTAAGATATTTCTTCCTCTGGGAGATCTTGATCTATCTCATTTTCTCTCATTCTCATGATTGTATTCATGCATTGACTGCTCTTTCAATGTTTCTGAATCTATGGACAGATATTTCATCCTGCAAGAGCAGGTTTTGTTTTTGTTCAGCACTATCATTACTTGAGGTATTCATGAACATTCCTTCACTTTCCTCCTTGTATTCATTTTGTGGTCTTATATGATCTGCATGGGTTAGTATGCTACTCCTATTTTTTCTTATTATTGTGCTGTGTGCTTTTTGCATTAGAAAATTTGCCTTCTCTCGGAGTGTCTCCTTATTTTTCATGTACTACATTTTCTCATTCGTAGAATATGACATGGTTAAAGGAGCTCTGATCTGCCTTCCCATTAATGCTAAGTCTCTAACCTTCCTGCATATGGTATTGTGCAAGAACTTAAAAGCAGTCTAGGTAAAAAAAATTCTACTTTCTCTTTCTGATGCAAACATGCCTTTAAGCCCATCTTTATAGTTTGTATCATACTTTCTGCTATCCCATTCAATTAAGGATAACATGGAGGTGTCTTGTAAGACATACATCCTATTTTCCTTAGCCATGAATTGAATTAAATTCTTCATCACAAAACTCTGGAGTGTTGTCAGACATCACAGTTTTTGGTATCCCATTTCTGGAGAATACAAAATTTGTTTTACAGTAGAACTTCTTCTGTTAAGCACACAAATAACCTTGGGCCAGACTGAAAAAGATTCCATTAATATTAATAAGAGTCCTATTCCACTGACATACATGTGGTCCATGTGAGCATGATTCCATGCTTGACTCTTTAGGCATAGAATGTAATTTACTTTGCTTAAAGTTCCTTATTTCTTTTCATTTTGGACTTCTTTTAAAATATTCTTCTACCTCTTGTATATATCCCATTCACCATGCATCTAACTTTAGCCTTTTTTATCTGGCCACTATGTACCTCATCATGTACACTTTCTATTACCAGATTTCTTTGTATTTCTGGAAAAATTGCCATTAGAAACTACTCCATTCTCAATTGTCAATTTATGTTATTTCTTTGAGTCATTTCTGCCAGAGAGCAATTACTCCATTTATTTCTTATTCTAGATATGCTACTTAGTACTGAGTCTTGTGTAGTTTCTGTAGCCAGTCTCTACTCAGTGTAAAAAGGTGTCCATAAAAATCTATTCCATGTTATCTTGTGATGCCTTGTGAAATTGCAACCTTGATAATGCTTCCACATGAGGTATCATATTCCTTTGACATATTCTGTATCAAAGTCAAAAGCCATCAATATTATCAACCACCTTAATATCCTCAATGTTGTGACTTTGGGTAGTTCTTTTCTTGGATTGAATATAAATTCTAATGGTCTATGATCAGACCTTAGTAATAATTGTTTCCCAATTAAGAAATGACGAGCTCTAGTCGTCATCCAAATAATCGGGAGAGCTTCTTTCTTTATGTTTGAATAATTAAATTCAACTTGTGTCAATCTTCTTGACATGCATTATTGAATGTTCTTCTTGGGATAATTTTCCAGATATTGAATGCTAGCTGGCATCTGTAGTGACTGTAATTTCCATTCTTGTGTCAAATATTTTTATTACTGGTTTGTTTGCAAGGATTGACTTTAGCTTATCAAAAGCAATTTGCCTTGCTTTTATCCACACAAAATCAACATTCTTTTTCTCAGCTTGGCAAATGGTTCAGTTAAATCTGTATAATATCGCCAATAAAAATTTACTAATCCCTCAAAAAGATTCCAGTTCTTTTTTATTTGTGGGCACTGCTATATTTAGTATTTTTCTAGTAATGCTTGATATGGGGACACCCCTTCTTTTGAAATGGTATATCCCAAAAACGATACTTTGTTACTATTATGTACACATTTTTTCATTTATATTTATTCCTGCACTCTTCAACCTATTTCAGACAAGGCTTGTTTTCCTTTTTAATTCTCCTTCATTTCTAGTGCCTATGCATATACCATCTTGATAACTAACCAATTTTTTTTGTTGTTCCTATAACTTGTTCAATGGTCTTTTGAAAAATAGCACTTGCTGTCTTTATCCCATACAGCATTCTTTTCCAGCATAATAAACCTATCGGCAAATGTTGTTATTTCTTTGAAATTTTCATCTATGGGTATCTGATGATATGCAGTTTGTAAATCTATTTCATTCTTACTAAGGAATATAAGGTCACTTCTACATTTGGTATGGGATATGTATCTGAGCATACTTTATGTTCCACTCCTACTTTATAATCACCACTTATGTGTAAGTCTCCACCTGATTTTCTCAGATCTATAATTGAGGATGCCAATTTGTTTCTACTATGACGAACTTGTTCCAGTATGTCTTGTTCAACCAACTTCCATAGTTTTGCTACTACTAATGGTAACAAATGTACTTGTAGTTTCCGTGCCTCATAGTAGGAGGGGGTAATGTTTTTTTTTAAACTTTAGGCTCCCTTTGCAGTTTTTTAACATGCCTATTTCTTCCATTTTTAATGCATTCATTAATTTTGTGTAATTCATGTTAAGTATATCATTTGCAATAAGTTTGTGATTCTTTTTGCAATCTGCAACAATGATGGGTATTATTTCAAATTTATTTTTCAATTCTACAGAACCTTTAAAATATCCCAATGTCTTTATAACTGACCCATCAAATTGGCGTAGCTGCATATGTCTCTTATGTAGTTTTGGTTTGTCTATACACTCCCAAAAGTTTCTAGAGATCAATGTTACATTCCTGCTAATAACCATTTATATGTCCAAGAGTACATCATTTATGGATTTTTAATAAAACGTTTTTTTGTTTTTTTCCAAGAAAAAAAATTTCCATATTTGATTATCTTGTTTTTTTTTCAATTCTTTTCACTTTTTAAATCTGCACATCACTTGAAAATGATCCATTTTTAGACAATCTTTACACTCTTTTCTAAGTGCTGCACATTTCTCTTCATGTCATGTTCATATCCACGGACTCTGCATTTTGCTATGATTTTCTTCAACATGTACATGACAGCAACTTCTACATAATTCAGTCAATTCTCTGACTTAAATCTTTGTGTTAGTTTCTGCTATTGAATAAATTCAATGCAGGTAGACAAAGACATGTTTTCTAGCTGTAATTGTTCTAACATTTTATAGCAATGCACATTGCATTATACAGTCTGTCAATTAACTTCATCTGAATTAATTCTTCTTCAGCCGTTTGGCTTTATTTTCCAAGGTTTTCAAATTCACAATATTGAGATGCATTTTTTACATGAAGTAAAACTTTTTAACTGGTTTGTCAGCTTCTTGCCTCATATCCATGAATTTTGCTGTCTCTGCAATGGCCTCTTTTTTGCCCACATATTTTTCTGTATTATCTAACTTATTTCATCAAAAATCAAACTTTCCAACTGTTGGATGAGCCATAGTTGAAATTTTCATAATGGCTTCAATTCCAGCTGTGGCCAAAAAAAGATTGGTTATTTAATTTTCTCCTCTTGTTTCTTTGCTGTCTCTTAATTTCTTAGTCCTTGCTTTAGTCACGAATACTCATATTCATGAATCCAAGAAATCAGGATTCTCTAATGATAAAGTGTATCCTATCAGCAATACCATTGTTGTGAAATTGTAAGTCTTTCATGTTACTACTCAATGTCCATGCGTGGTCACTCCTCCTCCTAATCGAAGTCATTATATAGCCTAGGTAATCCAGATGTTAATTAGTTAATCTACATATCACTACAGACACATTTCTTTGTGTTTCAGGCACATTCTGCTAATGTGGGTTTGTCATTCTGTGGTAAATAAATATGAAGTTGCAACAATAACTGTTACCATTATAAAGGGGTTTCAATTGTTCTTATCTGTTTTGTTTATACAAATGTTTTGAGCATTTTTTTGACAAAGTCTTTTATTCCTATAAATTTATAGCATGATTATTCAGTAATCAAAGTATTCTCCCTGTAATCTATGACCTCATGAAAAATTTCTGTTAAATTTCATATTATAAAAGAATGATTCTGATTCAAAAATGGTTTCTATATATTGAACTTGTATTAGAGTTAGCATCCTTGTATATGTGAAAATAGCTTCTTTTCCAATCATTTTGTCACTGTCTATACAGTGCTATCATAGATCAATACAGGTATGGCCATAGGTTTGTCCACTTTGTAATGGTTTTTCTTCTCATTGGTGGCATATCTGCAATGAATAGGTGTCTCACAACTCAGGAGAGATAGA